CACACACACACACACACACACACACACACACACACACACACACACACACACAGGGGTTTCTGTTGCATATCCTCCTCCTCCTCCTCCTCTTAGTGTGAGACAGTGTGAACTGCTTCTTCAGAAGCTTAACATAATGGTAGAAAGGAAAAGAGCTCTGACACCAGCTCTTCCTGTAAACTCCTGATGCTGCATTTATAGCTGATGTTTTTTTGAACCCCTTGTGGGATGAAACCATCTTCCATTGAAGTCCTGTAGGTACCTCAGAAATGTTATTCTTAGAAGATTCTACAGCGACTTTTCCTCTGTGTCAAAAAAAAAATAGTTGAAAGAAAGAGTTCCTGTGTTGTCTGTGTTGTTGTGGGGAGAAGAGGAACAGCTATGGACTTTCATAAACCTTTACTAATGTGACTGAATGAAAAAAAAGACTAAAAGAGGAAAGGACATGACTGCTAAAGGACATATGCTTGCAATGGCAAAGGATGAAGTTTACTGTAGATAAAAAGGAGACATAGTAAGAGGCAGGGACATCTAGGAGAGCCCAGAGTGGACATGACTAGACTTATCTGAGCCATATGAGGAGACCATATGGCTGCTGACCAAAAGGGACAGTCTGGGCCAAGAGACCAGCCAGGAGAGTAGACAAAGACCAGATCACCAAAATGGTTGGATTTTATAGGAAAGGGCAGCTCATAGCTGAACAGCCCAGGCCCTGGGCTGGAGAAGTTTAGGGTAGGCAGTGAGGCATGCCTGCCTGGAGGGCCCTGTATCGGGTAGAAACCGAGGGAGGCTGGGAGAACCTTGCAGCCAAGTCTGCTTTGATATATTAAGCAGGCACTTCAGTTAACCACTTGTCCCAAGTCTGAGACCCAATCATGATGGCCACTCATTCATTGGCATTCAACAGTCTGTGGAGGACTGGGAGGGCCTGACACCCCACTACAACAGTGCTTCACTGAGAACGTGGAGTAGCTGTGTGTCCGGTTCTCCAGGTCCTGCTTACCCTTCTGTGGGAAACACTCTCAGGGATTTTGACATAAGCTTTTGTCAACTTGAGAAGGGGGGAGCATTCTACAACAGGATCCACCATTGAGGACTGCCAGGGACCTTACCAAATAGACGCCTGGGAACTCAATGAATGAAACAGCAACTGGCTAGGCCACACCAGGTCCTCTGCTTCCATTGTTCCTTTTAGTTAGGGATCAAGGCATCCTACACAGTGACATCATTTTGCAGCTCCGTGCTGAACCATCCGCCACTGAG